TTGTCTTCTCAAACGGCATACCCAGTTCTGCCAGGTCTGACAATATTGCATGAACAAATCACCAGGCACGGGACTATCAGCTCTGAACAGGCTGTCCTAGACACGTCGACTTGTGAGACAGAGCAACCTAATAATCCATCCCCAACCAGGGTGACTTTATTCCCTGGGCTTGGTTCTTTGATGTTGCCCCATCTTCTGGAAGAGCATGTTTGTAGTAACGGCTGCAAGAAATACTGCATGGGGAAAGGTCTATTCTAGAGATGTCTACATATTAAATTATGTATTAAATAATACCATTCAATTCCAATAGTCTTTCATTTTCAAAGTAACTAATTCTTTCATGAGAGCACACACTATAACTTCAGCCATTTGGATTATTTTTCTGTTTTTCATTTTGATTTTGTCAAAAGATTCAAGCTGGTCTCTGGCCAATGCCAGAAAGGAATTATCTGAAGTAATGCAACCAGACAGTATTTTGCAGCTATTTTTCACAAGAACAGCACCATATTTTTTGTAGAGTGCTTCTTGTCAGGCCTCAAAATGAACAATACATTGAATTAATCAAAGAGACGTTCTTTTAACCCTTTGTTGCTTGCAGGAAATGGGAAATATTAGTCTTGATTGGGACAAGACTAGAGAGAGAATTTTTCAAAGCCCAGGAGTAAACAGGACCTTGTTCCTTGTAACACTGGATAAGTGCTTTCTGGCTCTGAGTGCTTTGGACTGTGTGGATATCCTAAGCCAAGTTTTGCGTGTGTCAGCAGTGAACTATCTCCAACCTGATGTCATTGGGAGCCTCCCAAACGTTCTGCAGGAGGATGCTTTCAGAAACTTGTAAGCCATTTATTTTCCAGACATGATTAATACTGTGTAGCATTTGCTGACTATATATACTTTTAAAAAGAGGTTACTATATGGTCTCAGTCTATTTTCCAGATATAGCTTTCTGCTTATGAGTTGCTGTTTCTAAAAACATTTGTCCATGTGCGTCATTTAAAAAAACCAAATAGTTAACTCATTAGTGAGCTAACATGCCCTTGTATCACTTAGATCAACAGTATTCAAGGACCTCTATGACAAAACCTCAGCGAAAACACAGAGAGCTCTGTATGGCTGGATGGAGCAGATTCTACAAAAATCCTGTAACATGAGTGGTATGTTATGTACAAAGTACTTTCTTCTTGCTTATCATAAGAGAAAAACAGTCAGCAAAAGGCCTATCTGTTGTATTGAGTTGTTTCCCAAATTTAACACAGGCCTGTTCAAGAGTAGCTGTCTTGAATACCTTTGCTCCAGAATACAGTAAACATAATGTGTTTGTTATTCACAGCAAATGGTTCTCCAAAGATGCTTGCTCTTCATCTCTTCTGCACAGAGCTATTCGCAAAGTCTCTGTACTCAAGTCCTTTTTCTAAGACTTAAATAGGATACAATTGTCAGGTATTCTGCCCAGGTGTGTTGTTCGCTTCTGACCTCCTATTCAGACTAGAAAAATAGATCTGTCTCAGAATACGTTAGCCAATGCACTGTTTAAAAATACAAAAGAAATGTAGGATGTTGTGAAAGTTCTACTGCACATGGCACTGACTCGATCAGAAAAGGGACAAGATAAAAACAAAGTTAATTCATTCTGATTTTATGCATTTTACCACATCTGTTTGCCTTGTTAATGTGTCTTAAACAGATGTGCCACAGCTGGGACAGTGCAGGACAGCTCCACGAGGGGGCTGTAAAGCGGCCGCGGCACTGACACGTCAGAGCCAGTGCTTGGGTTTCACCGAACATCCCAGCAGCGCTGTCATGGGAGCACTTTAGACTATTAGATGTGTATGTTCTTCCTCTTTCCATGGAAGTCAAAGGCAAAATGCCCACTTGCTTCGGTGGAGCTAAATTTGGCTCCTGGGACTTCTGCGATTTCCAAATACCAGAGTAACTCATTAAGTCCTAGAGGGGAAGTTCATGACACTGCTATGAGGTGGTATTACTGCCAGTGCATTGCTGGGGAAGCAAAGATGCAGAACTTGCCTGATGATACTCAGCAGTCCTGGGAAAATCCCACAGCATCAGACATCATGGGTTCTGTCTGAAACATTAGAGAACCCTCAGTTTGTAAAAGATCACCCAGCTCAGGAGGGGCTGAGAAATTACCATGCCTCTCTTACGTCCTGGTTGCCGCTTCAAATGCGAAGCAGTGCAGATAGGGTGAATCCACTCCTGAAAGCATTGGGTGTGGACTGATTACCAGCTAGTTCTGGTAGTATGAACTGGAGAACCCATCAGCCCTGAGCAGGCACAGTTGGACTGCTACCAACATCCAAGTCTAAAGTTTATATACTCAAGTATATCTGCACACCACGGGTCACAGCACGGTGTGCGGGACAACAGAAGAGTCTTGCAATAGTCTGATTTATTCACTTAAACTTTATATGTGGGTAGCACTGGGACCACCTGGGAAAGGGATCAGCCCTCTTGTAGAAGCAGTATTTTCCTCACTGAAGCTCAGAAGAAAAGAAACTTGAAAGAAGCCTTATATTTGTGGTGCTTACGGGGCCACCTCCCAAGAATTTCTGCTGGTTTTGGTGACAGAGAGCTCATCGCCGTGTCTCTGTTGTGCCTGCAGAAATGCAGAGGGCTTTTCCATCATACCGCTTCTCCCCGTGGTGTCAGGCAGCCCCTGCAGCTGGATCACTGGGTGAGC